AGAAAGAAATAAAGAATTTAGCTGGGTCTTCGTAAAAAACTAGAAAAATCCTCCTTACCTCGAATAGCCTCTTCTACAATTTCGTCTAAGACTCCAGTTAGAACATTGGCCTGCAGCCTAGTAGTCCACTTCCAATGGTCAATGAAATAATATCCACCATGCTTAAAGCCGGCTACATCTGCTCTTCGCAGGGTTTTCACTGAGCAGAATCTGTCGCTTCTCAGACTTGGTCGTTGCACAAGTAGTTGTTCTCTTCTGAGATTTTGACCTAACATATGTTTAACTTCTCCCAACTGCAACGACGGTTGCTTCCCTTCTGCGACCAACTGAGCACTTCTTTGCATTACAGAAACAAAGATCCGAGCTGTGCGGCTGTCGAGTGTTGTCTTTCCGAGTTTCTCCCAAATATTTTCAATGAATTCATTTTCCAGATCCGAATATTTCTGCCATTCGTTCGTTCCTGCATTCCTGCTCTTATCATAGAACCAACGAACTTCGGTCTTTGGCGTGAAAATTCTAAAAAAGTTTGAAAAATTTTGAAATGCTGAATTCTTGAAATAGACTGTAGCTACAATACTCATGCTAGCGCAATTTGATTACCCTTGCCGCCGCAAACGACGGTTATTCGACATTGTTAGAGAAAAAGAACATTTATTGATCTAAGTTATTTCAACACAAAAAAGAAGTTAGTGTGTGACTAGACCAGTCCGATCGAAAAGTAAGATTTTTTCCTTTTTTCCAGCGGAAATGAGGCAACTTCGAAGCTTGTATTAACCAAAGAAACAGCCGAGGAATTTAGAATTTGGTCACAAACGAAAGATATCGGCAATTTCTCTCAGAATTGGTCATGAAAAGCTATGTCCGAGCTGCAGGAAAATGTAAAAAGGTTTTCAAAAACCCTGGTTTTGCAAGAAAACCCACATTAATGAAAGTCTCTGCAATTTTCCGTTAAAAAGTTATGGGATTTTTCAAAGTCGCAGTTATTTCCCAGGTGGATATATGTGAAAGCAAACAGAATATTCTTGCAAACGTTTTTGGAAATCTGATAACTTCTTAATGGAGTTTTACAGAGAATGGATTGAAGTGTCATTTTGTTCGGAACAGAATGGACTATCGACTAATGTATTACAAAAAGACTTCGAAAAAATTTCGAAAATCCTTGGGTATTTTGAAAAATCTGGTTTTTCCAAAATCTTGTATGCTTTCCTGAAGCTACTTTTGTAAAATGCAGTGTTGCTCTGTGGCTTTACTCATTTGCGTACGTTTTGTAGTTGAAATGTCCAATGTTGGGTGATGTCAAAAGTGTGACTGGCGTCGTATTTTTGCCTCTGAAATCTAATCTCCACAAAAATAATTTTGCAATTATTTTTCAAAAAATGGGTTACCAGATGCTTTTCTGAAAAATCGAGGTTTCTTTTTGGAATGGTGAAAATATCCTCGTCCAATTCAGCATCGATATCTAGTTGCAAAATCAGAGTTTCGCTGAGTCCATGTATAAGGAGATCAGATCCGGCAACAGTTTTTAGAAATGATCAACACTTACCTCTGTAAAATCAACCTTTTCAGTTTCGCTACTTTCTCAGTATAATACGGTCCTTTCATCTGATTATCGGTTGTACTAATCCATTCTTCCAAATGTTTCGTATCGGTCATATCCTCTCGTTCTTTCAGAACAGGACTGAAACGAAAATATGGGATGTTTGTACGCTTACAAATTTTTTTCATTAACAAATGCGTTTCATGAGCATCTGTGACCTGTTCAGTGGTATAGCTCACTAAATCCCATGCTTTATAGACGTAGTTTACAATACGCGGCGGTGCATATATACTGGTGGCCATCAGAATGACGAAGAAAAAAATAGCAAGCCGACTGGATTTGTGTAGAAAATATTGATCGATAAAAAACTTAAACAGGAGAACCACAGCCAAGCTGTAGATGATTTTCGCCAAGCGTGACTGCCAGTAGATCTTGTGTTCTGAAGGAGTGAGGGAGAGATCCGGCATTCTTCCCGTTCCGATACTCACGACATAAGCAATGCGACGGTGTGAGACGTCCTCATTAAATTCTTCCGAAAGCATGCGTAACGCTTCTTCGTACAAGATTACCACAGGATTGTTAAAACCGACACCTCCGTCGGTAAAATTTGTACCGTTTTTTACAAATGGTGGAAAATAACTTGGTGCCGCAGACGTTGCTCGTGCAGCTTCCCAGCAAGTCCAATTTGATGTTCCAAAATAGCTGCTCGGGATAGAATTGTAATTTGTCAGGAGATAGGGGGAGGTGTGAGTGTTGTACTTCGCGACAACAAATACTTTCGGATATTCTATATTTCCGTCCAGTACCATTGTTAAGTCCCCGAAATGTTCTTTCAACAGTCTTTCCAGTGGACGAGCGGAGTAATCTTTTAACGGATTGCGTCGTTGATTCGGAAATACCTCCTTGGCTAGTTGCCTGTATAATTCTGTCACATTCGATCCACTCGTCTTTCTCAATATCGTCGACAAAACTAGGATGCCGCCTGTACTACACCCGGCTGCAAAGTCAAATAAATCAGAGGCACTCTTACCGATTTCTTCCTCGAGTATATGAATAATTCGACCAGCTATTATACCCCGAACACCTCCACCATCAATAGATAGTAAACCGTAGCGTTTGCCAGCTGGTAAGCTGATTAATTTCTGATCTTCGTATTTTGAATTCGCTACTACAATTACGGCTGCTATAACAATTAACATTATTATTCGTTCACGAGAGACAGCCATGAAGAGATTAATCAATCATACTGTCTCTATGTTGGTGTACGTTATTATCTTTCCTTGGAAGTTCTCAGAAAAAGAGGAAGAGAGCAGCAACAAAGATGGATTTTTCTGAGGCAGAGAAGCTTTGAGTAATTGTTTGTCTGTTATGATATTAACCGAGCAAAAAGGAACATTTATATTTATTGTGTGATCAAGGAAAGAAATAAAAAGTTAATTCGGATGAAAAACAGTATATGCCTTTCTTCTTTCTTTCGGTTGTGCAATAACAACGCTATACACGTCATTCACTATTTCCAGTCGATAACAAAAGTATCTACAACATATGCCTTGTCGATCTATGTGAGCCATTCCAAGGATAACACGTGTATACCTTCAATAGCGACATCGAACATCTTTCTTCTTATTGTTTTATTTTATTTTGTTATTTATGTATTTCTCCTTTTTCTCTGTGTGTGTGTGTGTGCGTGTTTTCTGTTTGTGAATATTCTTTTATGTTGCGTTAGGTGTCTGTCTCACTTATTATTATACTAGAAATTTTTCGTTTATTGAACAGTCAAAATGATATCATGGGTCTGTTCCTCTTTCTTTTTGCTGTTCTATTCTATATTTATTCAATGGAAATTCTTTTCTTTTTCTTCTTTTTACAAATAAAGCTTAAACCGACATCGAACAACTTTAATAAGTTTGTCGACAAGCATATAATGAATGATTGTATTTTTTTAACGGGTATTTTCTTAATGGTTGCAGTTGATGACTTATTTATTTAGATTGCACGTTGAAAAGGTCAAACAAGCAACATTCATAATACTAATTAGCTCGGCTCTGTTTCTTAGAAAACAATTCTGGTTATACACTTGCTAGATTTTTGTTTAATGTTGCTGAAGAAGAATGTAACTGTTACACTTGCTTTATTTCAGTAAATTAACAACTATATGTAGTATATTTCAGCTACATGAAGATCTCTTAGGAAAACTGGGAAAAACACATATTGTGCAAGAGAGAGGGATGAGAGAGAGAGGGAGAGGGAGAGAGAGCGAAGAATAGAAATGAAAAATCCCCATGGGAAAGAGTGAACAGAAAGAGAAAACATACGTCATAGAAAAGCAGGAGAGTGAATAAATATAACAGACGAACGGAAAGGGAAAATAACCATCGAGTGAAGAGAACATGTATATTTGAAAGATGACTACTGATATGAGATTTAGTTTATATTTCCTAACAAAGATATTTTATCCCACAAAAGAGATGACTAACGCTTGAAATATTTGTTACTTTTTCTTAGTTATTACTTGACACCTTTTTGCATGATGCCAACATAGAATAATCAACTTATTACATAAAAATGAAGATAAACCAAAAGGATGTATTCGATATCTATTGTAGAGATCTTGCACGAACTTTTTCGTTCATACAGTTCTTCCTTTATCATTAATGTTCTAATTTCAACCATTTGATAAATCTGTTGATCATTTGGAAAATGTTTGATCTTCGTTTTGAATGTTAGGAATTAAATATATTTCCATAGCGGATTGTAAATACACAGTTGCTTGATTAATATCACCAATGACAAGAGAAATAATACCCAGGTGCATGGACTACATTGTATGATTCCGACATTTTGTCGGCTAAATCAAAAAAAAAACATTGCTTCGTTTAGTTTCATTAAATTTCTCACATGAAAAGCAAATTCACCCAATAATATTTTCAATGATGGATTATCATATGAAAGAAAGTGTAACTGTTGAAAACAGAAATATTTCAGATTCTCATACTGAAGTACGTTGTTGAAAATAAATACTTCAAAGAAACGATCAGAGCATGGTGTGAATGAAACAATTGTCGACTGCTATTGTTGGTTTTTCAGATGCTTCTCAGTTGAACGAATTTTATTTTGTATATTTCTAATCGATGTATGAGTACAATGGTAAAATAATTTGTTCTATTGTTAAAGCTTGCTTGAAATAAATTAATGCTGTTGAATAATACTGACTTTGTTCATATAATAAACCAAAATGGTAAAAGGTTATACTTTTCCATGGATCTGTTTTTAAGTAAACTTGAAAGCTTCTTCAAAAAAATATTTTGCTTTTTCTGTGTCATCCTGATTCAAATAGACAAGACCCAGTAGATTATAAGTTTCAGCAAAATTTGATTTCATACTACTGTCGTTCCAAAATACAAGAGCATCGGTTGCGTTTTGAATAACTCAACATTAGATAAAGATAGAGACTTGCAATTTTCACCATTCGACAGCCAAGACTTGAGGCTACCTTTCATAAGCAAAGCTGATTTTCGATAACGTTTTCGAAGCCGATTTATCAGAAGATCGTTGGAAAACTAGTTAGCACTTTTCGAAATTCAAATAGGAATCTATTGACTTTTTTCATGTGCTGATAGCACGGATTGTTCTCTTCAAAATGGGAGTAAAGCGAGACCTTGATTTTCTACGGTTCGGGCGTTGTATCGGATTTCCGACGAGTCCCAGGACTGACACCGGTGACTCTTGGTAGCCTTAAAGACGGATGGACTATGAATAATCGATCATGTCGAGTCTCGTGGCAATATTTGTTTTTAGAAAAAGTTTTAAAAATCTCCCGAAAAGCCAGTTTTACGAAAATTAGGGTTTTCAGACCTAATATTAAAAAATTCACTATTCGCTCACTAAACATCAGGATGAGTTCAGACCTTCAGAATGTGAAGCATCTAAGCTATTCTATATCCTTGTTTATAGGAGATCTCAAAATAAATTTTAAAAACTCTAAGATTTTCCAACAGGGTTTCTGGAAAACCTATTCACAAAAATATGCTTTTCGATTTCTTCGATCTTATAATCATGTTCAGCGGACAACATTAATCATATCCTGAGATTTTGAACTCGTCCTGATGTTTAGTGAACGAATAGCGAATTTTTTAATATTAGGTGAAAACAGCCTGAAAACCCTAATTTTCGTAAAACTGTCTTTTCGGGAGATTTTCAAAACTTTTTCTAAAAACAAATATTGCCACGAGATTCGACATGGTCGATTATTCATAGTCCATCCGTCTTTAAGGCTACCAAGAGTCACCGGGTGTCAGTTCTGGGACTCGTCGGAAATCCGATACAACGCCCGAACCGTAGAAAATCAAGGTCTCACTTTACTCCCATTTTGAAGAGAACAATCCGTGCTATCAGCACATGAAAAAAGTCAATAGATTCCTATTTGAATTCGAAAGGTGCTAACTAGTTTTCCAACGATCTTCTGATAAACTGGCTTCGAAAACGTTATCGAAAATCAGCTTTGCTTATGAAAGGTAGCCTCAAGTCTTGGCTGTCGAATGGTGAAAATTACAGGTCTCTATCTTTATCTAATGCTGAGTTATTCAAAACGCAACCGATGCTCTTGTATTTTGGAACGGATAGTAGTCCGAGTTGATTTCAAATTATCTAATGCAATATTGATCATTTTTATTGCACTCGAATAATTTTTTTGATATAAGTACATAGTAGCAATATGATTATGTGTCTCAGCACTTAATAGATGACTGATTGAAAGGTCGAACCAAATCAATTCAGCCATAATAAAATATACGGACGTTGTAAGAAAATCAGCTGGATTTTGTTTAAAATTTAAAACACCTAAAAAGTCAAACATTTTACCCATAGCTAAAGCTGAAAGTCTATCAGCAGCAGCATCTCTCTGTTCGAAAAGATTCAACGCCTTTTTTAAATAATAATTTGCTCGATCAAAATCTTCTAGACGAGTATAGATACGTCCTAAATATGTGTAGGTTATGACATAATCATTTGTTTTTATACAAAATGGCGAAGCTAATTGATATTGTTCAAGAGCATTTAAATATTTTCCAACTTTATAATATACATCAGTCAGATCATAATGTATATATTTTTCATTTATCGGTTTTTCTATTAATATTAGCTGATAACACTGTATTAGACGCTCAAACATTCCTTGATAAAGCAAATAAGTAGCAGTCATTTGATTAAATTTTGAACCTTTATATATAGTACCATTTAATATTGGATCATTATTATTATTCTGCTCATCAATCTCATATGATGCGATATTTATTACCCAATTATTCTCTTGTTCCCGCTTTCGATTGAATTTACTATGAAATGAATACCTGTTGAGATAAGAGCGTACTCAGTATTCGTTATATATGTATATAGATTATTGTTTCGTTGATTATCTAAATGAATTATAAATACAATTTGTTGCAAATCACGATGATGTCTTTCTGCTGCTTGTTTAGCATTAGTTAGCGCAGTTTGTTTATTAACAGCTGCTAGCAAAAATGTATTAATCGTAAATCTAGAACCTTCTTTAAAATATATTGAATTTTCCAGCAACATAGCTTGACCTCGATAAACTATAGTTGATGCTGATGAATTTAGTTGTTTGAATAGATTATAAATAATAAATCTATATTTAAATAACATATTTAAATTATCTAAACAAAATGCTCTATTTAGAAAACGATAAATTCATTTTTCATATAATAATACTACATTACTGTTATAAATTAAATAATTATCGAAAATATTTTATACTTATCACTGGAATAATTCTTTAATTCCTTAATCACTTGTTCTTTAATAAATGTACCAGGTTGAGAAAGTTCCAGAAATGTGTTTATTAACAAGTGATGCCAAAAAAATTCACAATTTCCAGTACAGCTTTTTATTGTCATTTGATCTTTCAAATACAATTCAATATCGTCATACAGTTTATTAAACAATTTTTTATATATATTGTAAAATATTTTGTTTTGTTTTTCAAGATTCTCTTCGTAAAACACTTCTATTTGTAAATTATTTATCAAGAAAATCAAGAAAAAAACCATTCTGAATATTATCACCAATATCACGTAATAGTTCACTATCAATAATCATAAATATTTGTCTATCTTTTAGTGATTCAATAAACGTGGTACATTCCTTTATATGGTTAAAAAATTCAGTTAAATGAAGAAGC